GCATGTGTATCTCTGCGTGCATCTGTATACATTTAGACATGCGCTTTAACATAGTAGATAAATCTAAATGTATTTATATGCTCGAGGAACCTATTATTTATGGCATCTGTCTACTCGTAGCATGCATATGTATACACAGCAACCACACATATCTGCCTACAGTTATAATACCATGGTAAGTGCTGATTTGGTTAAACCATAGATAAATATCCTATTCTTTTTCATTGCTCCTATCATTTTTAATGGTATCTCCTATATGATCATGATTAATCAGGTAATTGAATACAGTTTGCCCTTAAATAATTCAATTAGCTTTAGTAAATTAAAAAAGTTTCCTGACATAGTTGCAACATTGAGAGGGAAAAAAACAAAACAGCACTTCACAATCGGCAGCATCCTTTAAATGAAACCCTCCCGAGTGTGAAGAGCATGCTAAGGCTTTACCAAATGAATGCTCTTTGTGTAGAAAAACTGATCTAAATCACGGTTTAAACTTTACAACCACTACAGTCACTGCACTGGAGCCGCCTCCTGCTGGAAACCGAGAGGGCAGAGGGTTAGCTCAGACCTACAGGGATAGCCCTTACAATGCTGCTGTAAAGGATTGCACCAGATTGACACCAACAGGAATCCCTCTCCAGACCCTGTAAGACTGGAGATTGGGTGTCTAGTTCCACTGAGAAAAGGGGAAGCCACTGGGCTTTCCATTTGCCCAGGGAACAGTCCCGAAGACCCTCAATGGTGTGTGCGTGTACAGCCTTCTCTGGGGGTGATCAAATCCTCCCCTCGCCCGGCAGGGAGGTAGCTATCTGCAGACCTCAATCACGCACCTGCAGGTTAGCAGATAAGCCCTCCATATGCGCAGGCACTCGCCCAGCTGTGGCGGAGGAGCGGTAAGCCGCCCCTTCCCTCTCCCATCCCCGCAGAACAAAGGGCGGTCATTTTCTGCTCCTCCCAGAGTCAGAAGCACGCACATGCCTTCCATCACAATTAACTCAAGAATCCGAAACACAACACAAACCCACCCGCAACATGTGCAAAATCAATGCTGTCAATAGACAGAACCAGGCTACTGAAAAAGCAAAGCAAAACAAACCTATTCAAAGAGTAAATACTCAAAGTAACAGGGCTCTGGTCAGACACACAAGGTCAACAAATCCAAGGCAACTTCAAGTACTAGATGCCTTATGAACCAAAGAGCTGGCCGTTATCCCAGGGGTTGCAAAGTGAACACATTCAGGGATCTGCTAATAGAAAGATCTGTAAGATAATGGGTGGGCCTGCTTTGCCAGGTGCCCCAGGTAAAGGCATTCCAATTCAATTTTTAGAAATATCAACTCGTGCAACATGCTTCTTAAACAGAAAGCCTACGATCAGACAGAGAAGGAAGCAGAATTTAATATGGGCGCAGGGCAGATGAAACAGTAAGAGTTCAAATCAGGGGTGCTGCCAAGGAGTCAGGCGGGGATGAGAGGCAGGGCAGAGGCCCTGATTGTCTGTGTGAAAGGCTCTTGTCTTCAAGGCAGTAAGAAAACAAAAGCAGAAAGGAAATGACCCACTAAGCTCTTCTAGGAAGGATTCAGATTAGTCAAATCGGTTCTGATTTAAGTACCTGAGCTGGATTGCAGAATGTTCACAATCCCTTGGATGGCGTTCAGTACAGGGAGCATCCACACACTACAGGACTGGCCTTGTTGGGAGGCAAGAGGTGGACCGAATGACCTCTCAAGGTCCTGATTTAAATACGTCCGTGTAGTCAACTCTTGGTTATCCGGCCCAAAGGAGAAGACAGTGACAAATCATCCTCAGCTGAAGATAATAAAAGTTGTATTTGCCTTTGGAATGTAAGTGGGTACTTAAATTAGAACGTGTCTCTCTGATGTTCTGAGAATTCACAATTCTTTGCAAAGAAACCCTGACCTGGAGCTGGGAGGGTGCCCGATTTCTCCATTTTTACTTATCTCATTCCTCCTGTAAGAATGACACACAGAAGCTCCAGATACGTCAGTGGCTGCCCGGAAGAGAGAGTTATGGGTCAAGGCCCTGTTTGACCTAGGCCTTGTTTCCAAAGGGTAATTCCATCATCACCCTACAGGATCCAGGTCTGTGGCAAGCTGAACACCGTGTATTACTGACTCTACAATGACTACGAATGACAGTTCAGTTTCTCCACCTTAGAGGCCACAGAAGCGAAGTCCTGGAGCTCATTGGAACAGACAAGGTCTTTGGAAGAGGAAGATGAAATGCACAGCCACTGCTCAGAAAGGAAGAAGTCTAGTGCTCAGGAAATGCAGCCGCAATTCTCTGCACACAGAAACAATGTGTAAGCTGGGGCTTGGGTCGGTGGGGGCACAGGCACTAGACACAGAGACACTGAAAACTCTGCCATCAAACTCCCCCCCCCCCTTTCCAAACAGAGTGAGTCAGGATGAACCTGGAGGCAAGAATTTTTCTGTTACCTGCTGTTTTTGCAGCTGGAAGATGAGCCACTTTTGAGCAGGGTGATGCAGATGAGTACTACTGTGTCAGCATGATCTTGGCGAGTAGGGCCAGAAAAGAGGCCAAATGAAAGGAAGCCGGAGAGGCCCTTGCATCTTTCTCCCTGGGGTGCTTTGCTCTTCAAGGTGTTTTTCGCCCACTATGGGGACCACAGGAAGTGTGAGCCACCATAGGACAACAAAGGTTTCCTGAAGTGGCCCTGCAGAGTGAGTACAGGGCAGGCCAGAGGGAAAACCAGACAGGTACGGGGAGCAACAACCTCCCTGTGGAGACAGCGACAGACTTTCCATCTGTGGAACCGGGTGGCACCTGCCAGGTACACCCTGAGGAGAAGGAGGGCACTGAGGTGTTCTGCTCACAGTGCAGGCCTTCGGTTTCCCTTGTTAACCAGTGAGACCATGAGCTCACACCAGGGTCTGAGTTTAACAGAGAGCATGCCCATGATGCTTAGGGGTGAGGGTGGGCAGGAGGAGAGAAGGGCTGTTCTCTCACGTACCCTGTCTTCTGTTCCCAGGGCCCACCAGGGGGAGATTGGGGTCGCCAATCAGGAGTCAACCAGAGAGCATCTCAGCATGTGGCTCTGGGAATTACACGGGGCACGGCTCAGCTTCCCCCTGCTTCAGGGGACAATTGGGCATTGCAGCAGAACGCAGGTGAGCCGCCCTCTGTATTTGCCTCTTTAAGCAGAACTGAACTGCTTGCTTGAAACGTGGCTATTTGGTTAGAATTAGAAATTCTGTTCTCTGAGCTGGGCATGATGAAGCATGTCTGTAAACCCAGTATCGCCGGCTTCAGGCCAGCCCAGGGTACATATGAAAAAACTGTCCAAAACATGGAGGGAAGAAGGAATTCGATTCTTTGACCATATTAGCCATACTTCAAATCTTCATTGCCACAAATGCCTAATGAACACCACACTGGAAAATACAACCTAGCACCTAGAAGGTCTAGCACTGAATGGTTTGCATCTTCTCAAGGTAGAAAAAAAATGAATAAGAAAAGTAATCCCTTTAAGCTAACTTTTCTGTATATCAGGTTCAGCCCTGGTAGGTGGGTAGGGTAGAGCTCATTGACTCCATGTTATAGCTGAGAAATACAGAGCTGAAGCTCAAAGGTTGGCAACTGTTGGGTTAAATATGGCTAAACCTAAACCCAGTCCTTTACTGTGGTGTGCCACACGCCTGAAATCCTAGCCCTTGGGAGGTGTAGGTAGGAGGAGTTAAAGGCTAGCCTCAGCTGTATAGCAAGTTCAAGACTACCTGAGACCCTTTCACGAAATGCTTAAAACCAATTCTTCCATCTCTAAGACCAACAGTTTTTACTGTTGCAAAAGACTGCTACAAATGCCGTCACCCAATAGGTACTTTGTTCTACATTACCAAAAAAGCTCAGGCCTCCTAGAACTAGGCAGATAGCCCCTCCTCTGTTTTTATTACTGGCTGATTTTTGGAGTGAAGTGATAGCTAAACTTTGTATAGTACAGTTTGGTAACTCTAGGACACCTCAGGGTTCGAATCCTGACCCATCCATCCAGCTAATTATTGTCTCTTGTTTGTTTTTCCGAGGCAGAGTCTCATAGTGCTCCTCCATCTCCCAAGTTCTGGAATCACAGGCATGTACCAAAAATGTGCGGTGTTGAACCTAGAATATCACGCACAGTGGACAAGCAGTCCCCAGCTAAGCTCCACTCCCTACCTCCCACCTCTGAGTTTCAATTCTTCATCTCTAAATGGTGATGATAGTGTTGTTGGGAGGATAAAGGTGATGCATGTGAAATATGATGTATAGAGCCCGGCACACATCGATGCTCCACAAATAACAATGACCCTCGGTGATTGGCAGAACTTACAATGCACTATCGCGTGCAGGAGCACAGTGAGGCTTCCGGAGAAGTCATTACAGTGATCCCTTCCTTCCAGATGATGGATGTGAGTCTCAAGGTCATGCATCTAGAAAGCTGCACACCTAGGGACCATCTCAAGCCATCTGAACTCCGAGGCTCTGCCTCTCTAGCTACACAGTATTCCTTTTCTGAGGAGGAGCAGCAGGCAGCAAGCCTAGCAGAGGAGGCTTAACTATCCCTCTTGATTTCCATCTTCACTCTTCTTTGAAATGGGTAATTAAAGTTTTCTTAGCCTTGTGTAAGGTGGTGCGGGAGTCAGTGAGCATACAGCAGCCCCTTCTACGGACTAACACTTTTATGTCCTACCCGTGTAGAACCTTGCTGGGGAGGAAGTAATACCTGCATGACCGTGACACGAAGCGGCCTTGAAAAGCCTGCAGATTCTACAGCTTTCTTCTCAGCTGCCACGTGTCTCACGCCCTTGCCATCGCACAGAGCAAAGCCACAGTACCCCAGAACTGCAGCTCAGCCAGCCAGGCTGGTGCTGACCACGAAGGACGCAGACCCCAGTGAAAACACGCATTGGTCACTCCACACAACCGTATCACCGCAAAAGCTGATTAATATATCTGTCAAGCGCAGGGTGGGAGGCACTTACCCTGCCACAACGATCTCGAAGTCCCCATCATGGTCCACATCCGTCACTGCCACTCCATAGTTGAGCTGGGTGGGATTGCTGTCGTAGTCAGGGGGCAGAGCAGAGTTGGTAACTGCGGTGAACATGGGCTCAGCCCTCTGGGATCCCCCAGTGAGAGGCAGAAGCCATAGGGGCAGCAGGAGCAGAGCCATCCCGAACATCTGAAAGCAAAAGTCACAAACTTTACTGAAAGTCCCCAGAGCTGAGCAGCTAGGCAAATCCAGTCCCCCTGAGGCCTTGGGGACATCTCCCCTCCCCCCATCCCATAGGACTGCTGTTTTGCTGTTGTTGTTGTTGTTTTTATGAACTCCACCCCGGTATACTGTCTAAAACTACAACCTGCCTCTGCCACAGCAGGGTACCATCCTGCTTTTTCCACTCTCTGTAGCACTAATCAATGCACTATACACAACAGAATTTACTGTGCATCACACTTAGTTACTGCCTGCCGCCTTCTGCTAGAGTTCAAGATCCACTTTGGCATGGATATTTGTTTTATTTACTTGATGTGCACCAAGCTAAAGACAAGGTATGCAATGAGCAGCCAGTATGTATTTAAGGAAGGCAGCGAGGAAGGAAGGAAGGAAGGAAGGAAGGAAGGAAGGAAGGAAGGAAGGAAGGAAGGAAGGAGGAAGAAACTCCCATACTCTGGGAGAATGAAGAAGAGATCTCCATGCAGAGGTGGGGGTGAGACCCCCACAGGTCGCTGGGTCTAGAGTAACAATAGGAGTAGTGAAGGATGGCTCTCCTGTGGGACATACCCCAGAGATAGCCTGGTAGTTTCCCCAAGCCAAGAGTCCTCCCAAGGGCTGGTGGTCATGGCCTCCAGATGAAGAGGCAGTCAAGAGATGCATTCCAGCAAGGTCTGCCAGGTAGCACATCATTCACTTCGAGAAATTAAACCATTGTATGCGTGTTTTATTATAAATTAATTATGTATAATGCATTGTATAATTCATTATAAATTCTCTAACATAACTCAGGGTGTTGCCAAGCAGCCTGGGGCCATGGGAGCCAGTGGCACTCACCCAGGAGACAGCTGAGAATGGCCAGGGCGGGAGCAGAATCCCATCTGCTCTGAGCTAGAGCAAAAGACATTTCGAATGCTGAAGATAGTATCACTCTAAGACTCTGCCTTAGGCAGAGCACTGGACCTCACAGAATGTCCCAGAGACTCTCTCGGAATTCCAGAAAGCTCGCACAGGTCTAGTCCCCCAGAAAAGCGCTACCCTCCTGCCTTCAGAAGGCAGCTAAACCTCCTCCTGACAGAACTTGGCTGCTTGCTTGTCAGTGCATCTGGCAGCAGAGAACAAGGCTGAGCCGGACTGACATCTTAATGAGGGAAGAGCAAAGGAGATCTGAAGACTGTCTCCCCATATGGAGACAGTTGCTCCTGCCAGCAAATGAGCTTGTGCTCCAGGTCAAGGACCTGGAGGTGGGGGGGGGTCCAGGCACTGCCTTTAGATCCAGACAGAAGCCGGAATCTCCCTGGTGTCTCTCTGTAAAGAAACGCAGGGGCAGGGCTCCATTGCAGGGCAGAAACTATGTAGGGTCCATTCTTAAAGGAGGTGCTTGTAGCATGTTCAAAGTGCATGTGTTGGGTGGGAGTCAGGATACAAAATGAGGTCATTCCAAATTAAGAGTCCTCTTGCTAAGACAGTGCCTTCTACTGGACTGTCTAATCACTAAAGACAACACATTATTATTAGAGTTCTACAACATAGTAGGGGATTTGACTGGATAAGGAAACTCCGAACCATCATTAGAAGCCGCCATGGGGTAGAGTATTTAATAGGCAGGGTGGACATAATGAAATGTATCATGGGTCTGAAGATCACTGGACATTTTATTTTATTGATAGTATGACCTCTACTGAAGGGACAATAGTGACCTCCTACTTGAAAGACTGTTCCAGGCCTTGTCTTTTGGACCACCAACCAGCTCCCAAATCATGACACATAGACTTATTATTAGTTTTAAATTTTCAGCCTTGGCTTAGCTCTTATTTTAATCTGTTTCTCTTTATCTATGTTTTGCCTTGGGTTTCTTCCTTCCTTCCTTCCTTCCTTCCTTCCCTGCTGTCTCCATGTCTGGCTGGTGGCTGCCTGGCTTCTGGCCTTGGGTGTGTCCCTCTGTTTCTCCCCTTTCTCTTTTCCTTGTCTCTTCTATTTCCTAGAATTCTCCTATTTATTCTGTCTGCCAGACCCGCCTATCCCTCTCTCTGCCTCACTATTGGCTGTTCAGCTTTTTATTAGACCAATCAGGTGCCTTAGGCAGGCAAGGTGAAGCAGGAACACATGTTTTCATAATTAAGCAAATACAGCATAAACAAATGTAACACATCTTTGCACAGTTAAACTAATATTCTACAGTATAAACAAATGTAACACATCTTTTACACAATTAAAGTAATTTCCACAACAAAAGACAAATCCAATTGATTGGCCTTGGCTGGGATGAATGATCAGTTTATGACTCCTGCAACCAGAGTTGCCTTCTAGAAGGCAGTCAGTCCCTCCCAGGCTTTACAACTGCAATTTGGGTCATGCAGCAAGGGTCAGACCCTAGTAGGGTGATGGGGTTGACCTCAGCATCATTTGGAGAGCTTGATGAGTTCCAATATCACCAGGTTCCAGCTCTCTCCTTTGAAATGTAGGTTTGGGAAGATACCTCTAAGGAACTTTTCTGGCTCCAAAATTCTATGAAAGGATTTTTTTTTGTTTTTTCGAGACAGAGTCTCTCTGTATTGTTTTGGAGCCTGTCCTGGAACTCGATTGGTAGACCAGGTTTGGCCTCTGCCTCCCGAGTGCTGGGATTAAAGGCGTGCGCCGCTACCACCTGGCGAAAGGAATTTTTTAAAGGAGAATTCAGAAGCCTCCACCCCATGTCCTCCATTTGCTTCGGCAAACCTCATACCAGCCTGCATGGCTCCTTTCTGAGGACATTAAACACATTGTAAAGAAAACATCTTTCTAGTAGGGTCCTACAGTGTTTCCCTCAAGACTGGAGAGGAACAAACTATTAATAATGTAGATCCCAAATTTTCTGAGCAGAGTGGGCCAGTGGGTGGCTTCACCTAGAGGGGTAGGCTGGGAGCCAGGCTTAGGGTTTGTGTTCCTCATGTTTAATTACTCTGCCATGCCAAAGCTTCCCTGTACTCGGGTGCTCAGGACCAGCTTTGGGAAGTGAGATGGCTAAGTACTGGGCTATCCACATGGGGGATCAGCAAAGTGTTAGCTGTTGACAATGCATTGTAACTACCTCTCAGGACTCGGATGGAGGCTGCCGTGCTTCCACACATCCTGCCTACTCACAGTGGTCCACAGAACAGCCGAAGGATCATTTAGGAGTCTATTAGAAGTGCAGAATGTTAAGCCCCACCCCAGACTTAATAAATCAGAATATCCATTCTATCAAGATTCCGGGTGATTTGTATGTATGTTAAAATTTAAGGAACTTTGCACACTCTTGGCTACATTGAAATCATGTGGGGAGCTTTAAAAAAGTTTCATGCCTGACAATGATCTCTTAGAGGAGACACCAGGGGCACAGACGACAAAAGGAAAACTAGGTAAGATGGGCTGTATCAAAATCAGAAACTTTTGGGCATCAGCGAACACTATCCAAAGAATGAAAAGTCAACCACAGAATGGGTGTAAATATTTGCCTACCACAATCTGATAAGACATTAATATCCATAGTGTATTAATAAAACACTCCCATAACACAACAGCAAAAAATAAAATAAAATGAAAAGAACCTGAATCAAAGTGGGCAAAGGACTGGGACAGATGTTTCTCCAGAGATCTGCAGACGGCCCACAGGAGCATGGATCTCCACTAACTACAGGAGCATGGATCTCCACTAACTGTATAGTGAATGTTGATCGAAACCACAACGACATACTTCACTCCCATTGGGACAGCAATGACGACAACAACAATAAAAACCCGGAAGTCTACAGACATTGGTGATGATGTGGAGGGCCTGGGGCCCTGTGCATTGCTGTGTCAGAAGACAGTCGAGCGGGGTCCTCAAAAACCTCACCACAGAATTACTATGTGGTCCAGAAATTCCACTTCTGAGTGTGTACCCAAACACTGAAAGAAGGAACAGTTTTTAAAACACTTGTTTGTGTTTATTTTATGCTGGGCTCTTTGTCTTCTGACTAGGTGACAATTTGTTCCTTTCCTGTGAGAAGTCCCTCTGTGTGGCAGGGGAGCTCATGTGTGGGTTAATGAGCTCTGAAGGCTTGGTGGCCCACCTTGGGGGTTTTGTACACCCAGATATGTTGAATGGCTGCGGAATCTCCATCTGAACTCTCAAGTTCGGCATTTTTAAACATGCGCAGCAAAACTCAGCACCCATTTTTGGGCCATCAGCCTTATCTATAGCTACTCCGTGGCCGGGGCACATCAACTTCACCAACTGAAACTCTGGATGGCTCTCATGGCTTGTTTAAAGTGTTGTCTGTCGGTCACTTGATGACTTTCGGATATGCATACCCTGATGGTCTGGGCAGTTTGACAGGTGATCCTAAGCGAACACAAGATGTGGGCCTATTGGCATGTATGACTTTGTGGAGTTTTCTGCATCAAGAGAGTAATGAACTCCTTTCACGGGTCACTTCAGGCTGTTTAACAGAAGCGTGAGAGCAAGGGCTCCTGGGAGAACTCAGGAGAAATAGGTATCTGCTCATCGAGGTACAGAGCAGTGGTAGTAATCACTATGGTCCAAGAGAGCCACCCGAGTGTCTATGAGTGTGGAAGGAAACATAGCATATGCAAACAATAGCGTGCTATCTGGCCTTGACAGGAAAGGCCGTTCTGGCCTTGATGGGAAAGGCCCTTCTGGCCCATTCTACAGTGTGGACAAATCCTGAAGCCAGTCTAGCAGGGAAAGTAAGGTTGTCAGTTATAGGAGGACGAATGCTGCGTGCTTCCATTTGTGGGAGGTAGTAGCCGGACGCACATGGACAGAAGACAGGATGTGGTTTCTAGAAGCTGTGGGTAGCTGTGCTTGATGACTACAGAGTTTCAGAAGATGAAGGGTTCTGCTGATGGATGGGGTGATGGAGGCACAACACGGGGAGTAGGCTTTGCACCACCAAACTGGATTTTTGGTTGTGATTAAATGGTAAACTTTACATCCTGGATATTTT